ACTTGTCTGATTTCTTTTTATCTTCATTTGATTCTAAAACTTTCTGTTTTGAAAACCCAAGTTCAGAAGGTAACTTTCAAATCAGAGCTTTTTTTTTTTTTTAACTCATGTATACTTTTCTTTTTTTTGATCCCCATATACCTGGCCAGATTTTTAAATGAGAGATAAAATTATAAAATGATATACTGCTAGAATTTCATATAAACAGTTTAACTGTGTACATAATGTACTTTATGCATGTGACTCAAAGCTTTTGATGTGATTCTTCAGTATTCCTGGCATTGTTTCTTTTACCTATGAAGAGAATTATTTTAAAATTTACATATTTGCTGGTTTAGGCAAAGAAACGTGTGCTATACATTTCCACAAATGAAAATTCTAGTGTGTTTCTTGTTATATATAGTGACTCTTCCAGGTGACACAGCTACAGCAGTGAGCCTCCTGTTTGGCTCTTTATAAATCCCCCCACCTCTCCCCAGAATCCACAATTATTGCAGATTAAGCGTTTCATCAGTAACTTTTAATTCTGAATTTTCTGCCTCCTCTTGGGGTTTCTTCCACGCCCTCTTTTGAACTAGCCATGGATGATGATTCGTATTTGTGTTCTTAGGACTCTAGTCTTTTTTGAAAACCTACTTGTTCTATATGTGCTACTGAATATCTTGAGCTCCACCTGCAGAACAATTACACAGTTTACCCAATTGCAGAGAAAGGCTTGATCGAGCCTTAATAGACGTGAATTCTTTAAGTTGTAAAATTATGTGTTAAAAAGCAGATTTCCCCCCCTTATTATCTTGAATTGTACAAACAATATAATTACCACATGGCTAAGCTTAAACTTGATTGTATTGTGTATAATAACACCTATTTGTCTTCTGGTCCTGTGTTTTTAAGTAACCTGTGGCTAAGTGTGAAATTATATTTGTGAAAATTAAAATGTTGTAGTAATGAAATGTGTTTTAGCCATTCATTCCTGGCTCAGAGAGAAATTCTACTCTGACTTCCATCATTCATAGAAGACCATTTCAGCGACATGGACACATTTTCTTTAGTAGAAATTATAATTCACACCCTTTGCTATATGAATTCTAGCCAGGAAAAAATGAAGATCAACCATTGGTTTTGACGGTGGTAATGAAAGAGAGAAAACTAACCCTCAAATAACTATTCTTTTATGATAATATAGTAGGGACAAGCAATGACCTGTTTCTTTTTTTTTTTCCAAAAGAGAACTGTTAACCCGCACATGATGCTCATAAAATATTGTCATTTGCCCACTGGTTAGGGAAGAACTTTATCTGCAGTCTGTGGGGACACAGGCACTCCTGTAGGAATATTGTGAAGTAAGCGATAGTTATGTTCCAGGAAATACAGTGCCAGCGAACAAGCCTTGCCCAATCCTAGTCGCTGCTTCCTGTTGAGTGTTGGTGCCTTTGGTAGGACTTAGGAATTATCTAACCCAGCCGAAGGCTTGACAAGAAGGCGAAATGTAATCGTGTACCTGAAGTTCGTCATTTACCTGGAACTCTTTCATTTAATGCTGATGATATATTGATATCATTTTTACATGCACATGACTTTCACTGTGCTCGCGATTGTGACTTGACAATATTGATGAAGCTGAAGCAAACACAACCCCCGATTAAATATAGAATGCTCCCCCTCCCTGGCCCCCAGTTAAAGACTGTCTATGGAAAGACACAGATCCCATCACCACAAAGAGCCACGTAGGGAGAATTTTCAGTTGTTCTTGGATCGAACTCCACCTAAAAAGGATCTTCCATGAAGTTTTCCCCTTGCTCCTCAGCTGCATGAATAAACTGTAGTAAATTGTTTTTATCATGAGTGATATCAACCAGGAGAGGCACTTCTTTTAAAACGAATTTGCTGCATAAACTTTTAACTCAAAGCAGAGTCCAAGTCTTGTGAATTGCTAAAAAAAAAATAAATAAATAAATCTTTTTGTCCTTCAGAGTCTTTTGTGAGTTATGTCAACTTTTGTTAGCTTGTTAGTTTATTTATTTATTTACTCACTTGGGTTTTTTTTTGTTTTTTTAAATATGGGGGATTTTTTTTTTTAAGAGGAGATGTCAGAGGCCCATCTTGGCATGTTA